AAAAAAAAAAAAAAAAGCTAGAAAATAAAAAATCAACCAAACCAAAGGAAAGCATATTCCTCTCACGTATGGAATGTAGGCGCGTCAGTGGGGAGGGAAGAAAACAATTTCTAGGAAAAATGGAACCTATCAAATACTACAAAAGGCTAGAATTGGAAAAACTTTTCCATTTTCTCAAACGGAGCCTTAATGTTGAATTGCCAAATTTTCAATAAAGCATAGTTCAATATTATTTATGACCACATGGTGCTTGACAACGAAATTAAATTACTTAATTCCTATAGATTATTAAACATTTTTTTTAGCTTACAAATTATTTAATAAAATTAGAATGAATTTTTAGTGGTCCAACAAATTAAAAACTAATAAATTTTATTAAACATGTATTTGACATATTTGTATTTTTTTGAATCACTGGTGTGAAAATTTAATTGTTGTCAAAATAAAATTAAAATGTTTATAAATATCTTTTTTTATTTCCTCCGGTTTAACTCGGGTTAGATTCCAATTGAACATTTAGACCCTGACCCTTTATCTTTTCTAGGTCAATGCCCAGACCAATTTTTAAAACATTGCTAAAATAAGAATATTGTATTATACAACAGGAAAGAAGAAAATTAAAATCTCGTTTATTATATCATTCCAAATGCCAATAAAGCAATAAATGGCCAGTGTGAAATGGAAAAACCCAGAAATCTCAAAAGTTCCTAGTTTTGACCTTTGAATTTATTTTAAATTTTGTGTTTTGAGTGTCCATTTTAAAATTGTTGAATACTCGTTCTTTTTGTTATTTTCAAAAATTGAAAAAAATGAAGTTTTGACTTAATTTTAACCGAAAACAACCAAAACGACTTTTTTTGACATTTTCCGTTTTCTTTGTTAATTTTAAACTCGTTTTTGAAAATTCGTTTATCAAAATAGGTAAGCAAAAGTATTTTCAATAATTTCGAAAATTGAAAACTGAAAATAGCTTGAAAACAACAAAGAGAACAAACCCTTAGTTGTTCAGCAATTATTATTGGATTGGAGTTTCCACATTTTCCTTGCATGCAAATCCCAATCAAAGGGAACAAGATCGAAACAATCCTGGAACAACTAAATATACCCAAAAATCTATTAATTAAAACTAGAACAAACTCAGAAAAATACTGCAGAAGCAGATCAAAAATAAGAACATGCACATGTTCAAGATCATTGCATTATATGAAAATGAAATTAATAAAAATATAGCTTTGTTAGTTTTGTTCATATATTTTATTAGTCAACTAAAATATTTATCACGTATTTGTTATGTTGGTCACAATAATAATCACGTAAGTATAAAACAATAGTTAACATAATTTGGTTATATAAAAAGAAGAGAAAATTCGATAATACAATATGTTGAGAACTTACCCGTCTAAATCATCCAAACCTCGATTCAAGAATCTATTTTAGGGAAAAATAATTTCTGTAAGCATCTTTCATTCATACTAATTTGTATTTTTCGGACAGTTTTTCTTTTCAAAGCTTCGATTTTAGCCTATATATATATCTCATGTTTTCAAACATGTGTATCACTAATGCTGATCCTAGGGACCATGTTACACTTACCTAACTTTCAATAATTTGTTAGTCTATTTTCACATTGCTAGTTAGTGGGTCATTGCATTATATGAAAATGCAATTAAGAAAAATATAGCTTTTAAAGTTTTGTTCATATATTTTATTAGTCAACTAAAATATTTATGACGCATTTGTTATGTTGGTCACAATAATAATGACATCTCTTCTATATAATAAGTGTGTATGAAACGGAGGCAAACGGAATTTCTTGTTTTCCATCCCCCACACCGTTATCAGACGGAACAGAATGAATGTTGAACAGAATGAAAGGGAGATGAAGAGGGTTAACTGTAATCAGAAATTAAGGATGTTAAGTATAGCAATGAAGGCATCCGTTTATCTTCAGCTTAGGAACCCAAGAGGCTTGAAACTGTAATGGAAGTATAAGTCTAATATTATTGGCAATTACCTGTAATTCCAGAGACGAGAGCAATTTACATTCCCAGCAACGGATTTTAGCCTAATAACAAGGTGATGATTCCACAGAATTCTGAAGCTGAAAATCACATTTTCCCTAAAATCCAACTGCAATTGACGTCCAGCCAATGCGCCAAATCGCATCCACCATCATTCATCCTCAACCAAACCCTGAAACCACAATTTGCAACCCAAAAACGACACCATTGACAGCCACACCCATCACCCCAAAAGCTCAAAATGGAACTGCCAAAAGCTCAAAAAACCCGACTGCTCAAACAATAACACCCAATGCGGAACCAACCTCCAACTCCCAAGACACCACAGCAACCATTGCACCACCACCAACCTCACACCGTAGCCCCAAACCTACCAGTCGTAACGCAGCCCAAACCACCACAGCCCAGCCACCAATCGTGCTACTGCCCGACAACCATTTCACCCAAAATCAATACCAAGCAACCCCAAAAAAACCCAGAAATCAGAAAACCCATGAACTTACCTCCATTTCCCAAACCTTTTCAGTTTGATTTCCACAACGAAACCCAAATGAACTCGAACCTCCAAGTCTCGAATGACTTTGATTCGCACACCAAAAACCCCCCACCCGCCGACGCCGGCCTGCTGGCC